GCTTCCCAAAAGTGTATTCAAGAAGACAGAATAATGCCCTCAAGAACTGTTGGCAAAGTCAACTATCACATCTGCAGAAGCCACACGAAAGAAACATCACAATTTAACCAGTCACACTGAAAATACAACTCATTTTGACTTGTTCATAGTTTTATAGAAACTAAACTATTTCTAGAACTTCTAACATGAGTAATTTGCTGAAAGAGGTGTGGAAAGTKGGGTTGGGCAATACTGGCAAAAAACAAAACCAAACAATAATGATTAATTAAAATCCCAATTCAACTAAAAAAAGCAAAAGAAACAACTGCAGATTATGACATCATTTATAATAAAAAAACAAGAAGAGTTCATTTTTTATCATAACTCACCATTCAAATCCTAACTCAATTAATTATTTCATTTTACAGATTTGATCTTTTGGATCMTTTAAAATATAAAATAATTATCAACAAATGTTATTTTAGACTGCAACATATTCCGGTAAAATAAWTGAATCTGATCAATTCTTTTCATMTTTGTTTGTCTCACAGCTGACTGTGCTAAAAGTCGATGGCTGAAAGATAAAAGCCCACCCTGAGGGATTAACAGAACTTTCACCAGATCATGTGTGGCAACCTTTACACTCTTTATACTGTCAGTTCCTCCGTCAGGGATGTAAAATYGCTCATGCTGTCTAAAAACTGTAGTATATTGTAGCCAAAAGATGTGTTGCAGATAGAACTGCTGCAGGACAGAACATGTTTTTTTGGACCAATTAACATGCATGTCTGTGTAAAAACTTACAGTAATTTGATCAGTGATAGTATCTTCAGTTGTATGAGAGAAAAAGGAGATTTTTGGTCCAGAACAAACTCGTCACGAGAGTCATAACTCACTGAATTATAGTTMGCGTCTCAAAGACTTAACGTGTTTAACAGCTATGAGTAAGAAAACACCTAAAGCTGAACTTCACCATCATCTAAATATAAAAGTAAAACCGAAAAGAGACAAACAGMCACCTTAGCACTGAAGGAGCTGCTAACAATAACAGTTAAAGGTGACAGAGATGCWCCTATGTTATTTAGGCACCAACAGGAATCTCGGACAGAGCCAGATAATATTACCCGATCTGAGTGGAATGGGGCACTCGTTGATATGTTATTTAGRTAAAATGGATGCACAGGAGGCGGGCAGTAAGTGTAGGCTTCTGTGTCAGACAGTAATTGATGTTTGGATGCAGGCTGAAAGGGGCCGAGCAACAGCACAAAGCTTACACTTAGTCTGCTTTTAGTCTGGTTTTAAGCAAAGACATGGATAGGTCTCATATACATCTAATGATTTTCAAATATTACCCCTTCCATGTCAGAAATAAGAGACATTAACAGCAAAGCCCATCCCTGATATTGACACCTTGCTAAAATAATCGCTTAAGTCATTTTTTTTAAGTTTGTGAGGAATTTCCTAAATTGTCATATGATACACTTTTGGTTAAGTTTTTTGTGTTTCCTAAAAAACTTGAGGGAAAAAATACTTAGGTGATAATTTTAAGACGTCATCAAACTCAAAACATAACTCAGCTTCTTGAATCTAAAAGTACAAGTTCATACATATCTGCTAATATTTACAATAACTCACATGTGGCGTATGCTGCTTTAAATCCAGCAGTGACCATAAACTACATCTCCCATAATYCACTGATTATTTTAATTGTGAAATGATGGCATTCCACCACGTGGAGGTGTACAGGGTTCAAAAATAGCCAGTAGCGGGTGAAATTCATTTAGTAAAATCTTCATTTAGCTGAATTTTCACAGGCTACTTATGCTGCAGCCAACTTGCACAGGAAAGTAGGAATTTCCCAATTACAAGTTGTAAATTTAAACTGGAATGCCCCCTCAAGTGGGAATTTGCTGTCAGAAAGTGGTTCAAGGCGACAGCTACTCACCACAACTCAACAGGGAGCAAAACACTTACTTTTACTTTTAAAACTATTTCTGTATTATTTATTTCACATTTAATCACTTGTACACATACTTTTTAGTGTTTATAGGAAACACTCTTTGTATGCAGGAAATACCACATAGAGCTCTGTTATTGTTTGTTAGTGGTGCTCAGCCGTAGCAATGAGATGAGGAATGTGATGTTTTGTGTTTAGTTGAAGTGAAATATGAAATGTTGAAATTAATTACAACAGGCCCTTTGAGGGCCACTGTAATGCTCATGTGGTCCTRYGTGAAAATGTGTTTGACACCCCTGCTCTGAGTTCTCAAGGTTTTGGACCTGCTCCGTGGGTTTTATCTACACAAAATCGAAAAAGAAAAAGCTATTTGTAATGGCAAAACTTTAAAAAGCCACTTTTATGCTAACTGTGCTAACAACAGACTACAGCTCAGGAGTAACTTGTCTTTGTAACCCGTAAAAAGTAGCTCATCCTTCCGCAATTTACAGCGTTCACATTTCTGACCCGAAAGATGACGCTGTCACGTTTTCAGCGACTCGTCAAGAGTGCGAGAATTTCGATGAAGGCAGCAGCTTGGACTCGGAAAACATTCAGAAAATGTTACAGCTATAAATCAGTGAAGTCAACCGTTCTGATGGGTGCTCCTGAAGCACAAACAGCTGAAACAAGCACATATCTGTTCCAATAACGCACAATCCTTCAACAACAAGCAGATTACCTCCCGTTTCTGCCAACGTTTGTTTGGATATTATTGGTACCAGTTGTTGTTAATTTCATGGTAGCAATGATGAGAAAATGAATTCTTCGCCTTCAGCTACACGTCTGATTTGTTTCCAGGAGAAACCTTAACACAGTCTATAGATGGGAACTGTTGGAACATGTGCTCTATTAACTAACACAGAACCACYCTTTCATATTTGTGGGCAATAATGTATGTACCTATCTGATGGGAGTGGATAAGAATGTAAATCTGGATCCTGGAGGTAATACCCCCAACCTGCTGTTCAAAAGAAACAAACACAATTATCTGAGACTGAACAGGGGTTTGTGGGTTTGCACAGCTGCAAAATCCTATTAAATCAACTCAATCATCTTACCACAAAATAATTAAACACTCAGCTTTGTGCAATTAATCTGAGACAAAACATCGATTCAGTGTAAAATGTAACYGATATCCCAGATACAGTTTTAATTCATGTTTCTACTAGCAAAATACCACTGATTCCAAATAAGAAATGTGATTATAGTACTATACAACAGAKAGCCATAAGATTATGACCACCMGCCTAATATTGAGTTGGTCCTTTTTGACCAGTCAGGAAATGGATGAAGAACAAGAGTGGTGAGTCTCAATGAAATATTTAGAGTTGCATTAAAAACTGCATGTTTTCAATGGCAAATGAGACATTAAGGTGTCTGAGAGATGCATTTCCTTCAAATTCGAACAGTAAAAGAACATCTTTATATTTAYGAAACTTGGCAWAATACACGTGAMTTTACTCATTTCATTAATTAATTGGTGAGGAAGTGACATGAATGGGGAACTCTTTAAGAAAAAGTATTTGTTTATTAAAACAATATTATTTGAACTCTGACTCTTCTTCATAGCTCTGATAGTGACTCAAAACAATCTTAAAGAGGACCTATTATGCAAAATTCACTTTTGAAAGTTTTTTTACTCAATTTTGGGTATGTACTTCTTAAAAAAACAGTCCAAACAGGACCAAAAAATGCACACAGGGGCATATTTACTGTTAGTAAATGTATTTTTAATGTATATTAACGACATGTTTTATACTTCCGTCATTTTGTGATGTCACAAGCCGTACGACAACCCACCGGAACCTGCATTCAGCCCCTTACCTAGCAACCCCCCGGGTGAGGCTCCACCTCCTCAGTATAAAAAGCCATCACCGTGTTGTTGTGCAATGAGCAGCTCAGTTTACAACAAGCCTCCAATAGGGCAATGGGTAGAGTGTTGGACCAGAGAGTGGGAGACCAGGGTTTGAGACGGCATGGACACACTTCAAGTATTTATTTTCATTTGTTATGAACACGTTTTCTCATGTACCTCTGTTGTTTAGCTTATTAAAGCCTTGTCAAAGCCTATTTGTTGGAGTTTCTGAGGTATTTTGACCGCTGCTGCTCCCTGCTCTGGTAACAGCATGCAGAGTGAGCGCAGAGAAGAGGAGGGAGAAAAAAGAAGAAGAAGCTGGGACCACGACTCTGCCTCTGGCTCTGACTCAGGGTCTGACTCAGGGTATACAGTTGTACAACGGAGCTTCTGCTATTATTAGCCATGCTAACGTAAACGCTGGCTTTGGAGGGCGGAGTTAAAGTCAACAGATTTTTTGGAGGGCGTTACCAGCAGAGCTCATTAACATAAACAGCTCTTCTGAACGAAAGTCAGAGCAGGCAGAACTAGAAAATGGGAAATTTTATTATCTGAGAATTATTTTGTGCATRAAATTGAATGAACATGGTCTGGATAGCCCACAGACATACCATAAAAATTTCTTGGACCCATAATTGGTCTCCTTTAAAGAAACATCAGATTCTTCTCTATAGTATGTTGTTAGTTATTGTAGCAACACTTTTTTAAAATACATTCGCCCTTTGAATCACTTCCTATTACTTCACATGCAAATATCTCAACAACTGTTCATCTCAGCGTCATGAATTCTTTTGTGTAATATGTTATTAATGTTATCATTCAAAAAAGGTTTTCATTATTCTCACAAACATTTAATGTCAGAGGCACTTTAAGAAACATAAAACAAACAAAATCAAAAATCAAATCAAATCATTGAGGTTTAAGATGGAATTTCCAAACTTCAACTTATTTTAAACCAGACATCCTAAATGATGTTATACTATAATTAGCTGTATGAGATAAAACAATATAAAATGATAAGATGTGTGTGAAAATTCCTTTAATGTCTGGTTKATTTTGTAATACAATCATTAATGACTGAACATGTGTTGTTTTTGATSTCTTTATTTAGTTAAATAGTTGAAWGAAAAGATAAAAGGGGGTGACTTCAGATGAATGGTTACTCACCCTGCCGCCTTTCTCTGGGAAGCACTTGCACCCTCCGCTGCAGTCCAGCCCTCCACATGGCTCATCAGACTTCACGCCCTGCAGCAAAACAAGAAGAAGAGAAATAAGAAAAACAGGGGAATTCACTTTGTGGCAGTTATGACAACAAACTGACATCCTTTGCAGCAAGGTTCGGAAGCAGAGAGCGGCTGTTTTCTGCGTATAATTAGTTTCCATGGTTTACATTATATGTCGTTATCATGAAACATTGAGAACTGTTTTCTCGAGATAACACGTTAATTTCCATGGTTTTCCTCTTGTGCATCATTCAGTAACCATGAAGGCAGCCTGGTCATCGATGAAGTTTAAAATCTAGTGACAGATTAGGAAATGTTCTTGCAGCTTCTGTTTTCTTCACCTTTCTCCTATTCTTGAAATGGATCACTATTTGTAGAGCTCATTTGTGTCGTCACGCTTTTGAACCAAATCATTATATGAACTCTAAAAYGGTTTTAAGGACTGTTTGTCCAACTATTGAGTGGCTACCACCAAGGTAATGCAATAATTGTGCAATGTGTGCAGTTTGGCGGTCAGGCATCTTTTTCAGGAAAGATCATTCACAGAAAGACCCAAACCGGAGTCGGAACCCAGGACCTTCTAACTGCGAGGCAACAGTGCTAAGCTAACACCGCTAAGCTACAGTACAAGTCACAGTAACCTATATTGACAAACGTTTTAAACTTTTTAGTCTAACGTTTTATTTCCTCAACAAAATCTAGAATTCAGCTTGAATTGCTGCAATGGCTTTACGTGTGCAAAAATGTTAAACCTTTTGGAGAAGTGTTGCAAACTAATTGTGAAATTGAAATGCGGTCTGGCATGTCTGCCATAACCACAACARACATCATTCCAGATCGATGAAAACTGTCTACAAGCACATAGTTTCAGCTTCAACATGGTGACACAAAATACACTCGCTGTATTTGCAGATTCCCCTTTTTCTGTTGGGAAACTAAAGAYCTGCAGGACATCTTATTCTTACACCATAAAAGGATGAAGCTGGACATTATGCAGTTATTTTAATACATCTGATGCTGTCAGGAAAAACGTTATGCATMGGTGGGAAAAAAACACAAGGAAGGGCACAATGAGAAAGTGATCTTGGCACAAAGAGAGCAAAAAGGAGGAGGYGGAAAGGTCAGTGGTGAATGTTCAGCTTTCTGCCTTCTGATCTCCWCAACTCGTCTAATCACAGTGACAGATGGAGGGCAACAGAGAGGAGGCAAACAAGGAGACTAACTGGGATAGGAAACCAAAAAGGGGTTGAGGGAGACCAAATTAAACTTTTAGGTAAAAAAAAGCTAAAAGCACTATGTTGAATAATAATAACTTCTTAAAAGAATTGTTCAGCTCTTTTGAAGTAGGAGTTTGTATTATGAACCGTTYATATCTTACCTGTTGTAGATAGCTCTTTCCAAATTTTATTCTGACCATACTGATGAATTAATGGCTAGTCCAAGAAGTGATTTGATCTATGTCCCATTCAGATTAGCTGCTACCTRGTCAGTCTGGACAAAATTGYTTTATGTTTCTTCAAACTGAGGTCATTTAAAAAGCTGTCTACAACAAGTAAGATGTGAATTGCTCATGCTTTTAAAATATCTATTCCTTTCAATTTCATGTGTCAAACTCAAGGCAAATGTGGCCCGTGAGAGCTTCAAAAATGTTAAATTAAGCATATTCTGCTTTAAAGCCAACATTGACCATAAACTACATCTCCRATAATGCATGTTAATTATTTTATTCACATTTTGATGGTTTTCCACCAATAGGTAGAAATGCACAGGGTTCAAAYGTAGTCTTCAGTTTGCTGCATTTTTGCCAGCTYCTTTTTCTGCATCCCAGTTGTACTGGGAAGTGGACATTTTCCAATTAAAATTTGTAAATTTAAACTGGAACACACACACTGTTGTGGGAGAGTTACAAATTCAAGGTGGRATTTACTCTTTTTAGGTTGAGGCTGGTCAAGAAATGCTGAGTTTCTGAGTTGGAAATCCAACTTTGAGAGATCATTCCTGTTGATATTCTTTTACTTGAAACATCAACATTTGAGTACAAATGAAATGCACTATTAGCCAAATGTGTGCAGCAGTTTCTTTAAAGACAGACATGTCTTTGCAACCACCGGCAGCCATCTTGAATTTGGTTGGCTGTCTGTTTGTTAGCGATCTGTCAGCACTCACAATATGTGTTTGGGCTTATTCTCATCTATTCCCACAGATCAGTATCTGTAAAACTGAAAAATGTTGTAGTCATTTTTGTGCTTTTTAAGGTCATGTGATTGTAGCAGCCATCTTGATTTAATTCATTATTAGCATTTGTGGATGCACGTTCAGTAATTTACTTTCTATGAGATTCAGTTACGTTTGTCCNGCTGCTACCTTGTCAGTCTGGACAAAATTGATTTATGTTTCTTCAAACTGAGGTTATTTAAAAAGCTGTCTACAACAAGTAAGATGTAAAATGCTCATGCTTTTAAAATATCTATTCCTTTCAATTTCATGTGTCAAACTCAAGGCAAATGTGGCCCGCGAGAGCTTCAAAAATGTTCAATTAAGCATATTCTGCTTTAAAGCCAACATTGACCATAAACTACATCTCCTATAATGCATGTTAATTATTTTATTCACATTTTGATGGTTTTCCACCAATAGGTAGAAATGCACAGGGTTCAAAGGTAGTCTTCAGTTTGCTGCATTTTTGCCAGCTGCTTTTTCTGCATCCCAGTTGTACTGGGAAGTGGAAATTTTCCAATTAAAATTTATAAATTTAAACTGGAACACACACACTGTTGTGGGAGAGTTACAAATTCAAGGTGGCATTTACTCTTTTTAGGTTGAGGCTGGTCAAGAAATGCTGAGTTTCTGAGTTGGAAATCCAACTTTGAGAGATCATTCCTGTTGATATTCTTTTACTTGAAACATCAACATTTGAGTACAAATGAAATGCACTATTAGCCAAATGTGTGCAGCAGTTTCTTTAAAGACAGACATGTCTTTGCAACCACCGGCAGCCATCTTGAATTTGGTTGGCTGTCTGTTTGTTAGCGATCTGTCAGCACTCACAATATGTGTTTGGGCTTATTCTCATCTATTCCCACAGATCAYTATCTGTAAAACTGAAAAATGTTGTAGTCATTTTTGTGCTTTTTAAGGTCAMGTGATTGTAGCAGCCATCTTGATTTAATTCATTATTAGCATTTGTGGATGCACGTTCAGTAATTTACTTTCTATGAGATTCAGTTACGTTTGTCCTGTGGTTCATGGGACATTTATTGTCCACCTTTCTGCAGTGACCATAACAAGAGCAGTGCTTTGTTTATTGACAGGATCAACTTCATGTTTAAAGCACATTTATTRACTGTAATTRAAATTCACTGCATGGCTCRACATGTTTCAGACTAAAGTGATYCAACTTTCAGCTTTAGCTAATATTRCCCAATCYGTTTCTACTGTTTGCTCARACTTCACCGTCCAAACACTTTCATGTTCACGTCGAGCACAGATGTTTTACAGGCCTCTGTAATCCATACACTCTCAGCTTTAATGGTTGTGGGGAACGGCTGGCGTCTGGACTTGCCCGTTCATTCCTATAGTGTCTCCTGATGGGTCCAGATAAGGCTCAGACCTACCAGTATTTGGTATACATTGGTGCTTCCTGAGCTATACTGTTGGAACAACACTGATTGATGAGATACAGTTTTCTTTAAGGTGACCTCTAGCTCTTCAGCTTTCCTGTTATGGGATTTCTTTTTATTATACTGGTGGTTTCTTGTTTATAAAGAAATACAGGAATCTGAAATTATGGAGGCGGGAAAATGTACAAAGATGGTTTTAACTTCTCAAACTCTGAAGATAATTTARGCATCGAGTGTCGAACATCTTTTGCTAAATGCCCACTAATGCAACAACTTTTCAAATATTATGCAACAATTTATATAGCACCCATTCTCAAATTAAGTAATCTCTGATTCTTCATCCAAAATAAAAAAACAAATCTAAATCATAATCTGATTTAGTCCAAAACAGTGTCTGATTCAAAGCCACTGTTGTTTCTAATATTCAAAATTGTTTTTAAAACATACAACTGCAAAGTAATTAATCTTCTTCAATAAATATGTTTGTACAGAAAGAAACAAAACCATWTAATTTCTATCATCACAGAGAACAAACTTCAAAATGTATATTTTTTAAATGTTAATTTGAAAACAATTTGGCAATGTGGTRGTATTAGTTGTTAAAAAAGGCAACCATTTTCCTAAAGTGACCACACATAGAGGTGGTCTCTGAAATCCCAGCTTGTAACACAATATTACACAGTACTGCATAAGACAATACATTTTGAAACAAGATGATGCAATGCACAAAGCAATGTAATATTATATGATGAATATAATTTAAAAAATACTCGTCTCCCTTTACATTCGCTTCCAACATGGGAGACAAATAATTATGAGAGAAAACACTCACTGGTACATCAGACACTGAAGTTCAGACATGTCATGTTTGAACATAACACAACATAAACCAGTTATTTTTCTGAAAGATTAATGTTTAAAGTTGAACTGGTTCAATAAATATACGAACATGACAGTAAATTCTATTCTTCTATGGGGTTCTGAGCCACCCAATTCAAGATGGCCTAGTCAACCTTTCCAAATATAAAAACGGCTATAACTCTGGCAATGTAACAAATATTGAGCCAAAACCTAGTGTGGCAGTAACTGAAAGTCATTCCCAACAGATACTCTGAGCACTAACAGCTCATTTAAACCTTTGGCATTTTAAGAAGTAGTTGTGATGTATTCCTCCAAGGAGTATTTTGTTTATTGGTTTTAGACTTTTCCAGTGGTGGGCAGCTCTAATCCAAAAAATTAGCTCTGCAATTTCTAAAGCTCTTACGAAAATATTTAAGTCCGCAACTTCAAAAGCAGTTTTGCTTTTGAATGGTTATGCCATGCTTATGCCATAGAAAAACTAGCAGAAGCTAATTTTAAAGTGCAAGTTCAATTTGTCACTTACTAGCTGGTAACCATTCAT